CGCTCCATTATATGATGATCATAAGTTATATAAATATACTTTGGCTACATTTTACGAAACTCTTCGACTATACCCTATTGTTCCAGTAAATGGAAGGGTAATAATAATAAATTTGATTATATTTTATAGAAATTATCATCATTTTTTTAATTATCATTCTTTTTCAATTATGAACCAAAGATGTGCATTAAGGATAACGTTCTACCTAATAATATCCCAGTATTTGCTGGTGAATATGTAGAATATAACCTTTTTATAATGGGAAGAGATGAAAAAATCTGGGGAGAAGATGCAAAACAGTTCAATCCCCAAAGATTTTTAGACTCTGAGGATGGTTTAAGACCAAATAAATTTAAGTTTGCCTCCTTTCATGCTGGACCTAGAACTTGGTTAGTATTACTTACAATCAGTGTTGGGTTATGACCAGGTCATAACCCAACACTGCTTACAATAGCACAGTGCATGATGTAATTTTATACATGGTAACTTTAAATTTTTAATTTATTTTTAATAATCATAGCTTGGGTCAACAATTTGCAACTCTTGAAGTAATAATACTTGTAGCAATGATGTTGAGAGAATTTAAGTTTGAATTAGTACCTGGACAAAAATTACCTCCGGAATTTGATGATTCTATTACATTGCCAATGAAAAATCCTCTTATGACTCAAGTTTCTTATAGAACTAAAATTTAATATGGATTTTGTATAGGTTTTATTTTTTAATATTACATTATACATTTATTATTTATGGGAACTAGTTCAATACATGTTTAGGAAATTTTGCTAGATATTAACATGCCCAATAATTTTCATCGTGCATACAACATCAAATGATTGCTTTCTCTAACATTTGTAGAACCTAATAAGTAGATTTTAAAATATCAAATTGAACTATTTAACACTAAAGTTCTTTACAAATATACATATGAAGCATAATTTCAGTTAAAACAAGGATAATAATTTTGTTTAATATTAATCATATTTGCCAAGCTATATTGAAGGTTTCTAGCTTGGTTTTGTTTTTTGAAATACAAAGAATAATTTCAGGATCATTTTTTTAATATTAGTTATATTTGCCAGAATTATGACTTATTTCATTTTATTTTATAAATCAATTGTTTATCTATTATGTAACTTTGTGATGTTATAAGTCTGCATCGGGGATGTGATTTGCTGTGCAAATCATGGTTTACTGTGATTTAATGTAATTCACTTTGATTTATTTCGATTACAGTAAAATGTAGTTTTCAAGCGGGGACTTTATATTTTCAAGCATATTAAACAGCCATAATGATATTTTTTAAGCAAATATAATAAAATTATTATAGTATTTTGTTTAGCGAAGTATAATTTTTTGCTATAAAAAATAGTATTTTGTTCAGTGAACAGAATAAATTACAGTCAACTCTTTCTACAACCAAATACTGGTTCTTGGAAGAAAAAAATTGTAGAAAATTACCATGTGGGGTTGAGTCAATAAAAATCAAGCAAATTTTTTCTAAGTAATTTTTTTTAAAACTTTAAACAACAATAGCTCAACAAAAACTTAATCAAATTTAATAAAAATTTTTTTAAATAGATTCTACAAACTTATAGAATTTGTATAAAAAATTTTTATTAAATTTGATTAAGTTTTTGTTAAGTTATTGGTGTGTGAAGTTTTAAAAAAATTTAATAAAAATAATTTGCTTGATTTCTATTGACTCACCCCCATGTTTTCTTAAAAGCCTATGGTACTTTCTATACCAAACTGTTATTAAAATTTTGAGTTCGTTATGTTCAGAGTATATAGAGGTTGTTATATACAGAGTCGACTATATAATTTTTTCAAAAATATATAATATTATCAAGAAAATAAGCTATAATAACAGTTTGGACACTAACGATTGTAAAACGTAGACAGTCTGAATAAAATTTAGTGCAACACATCAAGTTTTTTTACTATATAAATTTTTAAATTTTATGTACAGATAAGTAACTATAATTGAATCTATGTTTTTATTATTAATCAGTAGTAAATCAAATAATTTACTGATATTGAAAACGTAATTTGCTAAATTATATCACAGTTTTCGCAGGTCCCTGGTAACGTCCAGTTCATATCAGAACTGATAGAGCTATCCTATCGGAAACTCAATAATCATTTTTAAAAGTAATCATGTTTCTGATATTTTACCAATAACTTTATCGGTTCCAATATAAATCTGGAAATGACACAATTAGAGCATTAATTGGTGCTATATTGGGACTAAAAAACATATAATATTGGCTTGATATGCCTTATTTCGACCAGTTTAAAATTTTATATCACTTTAAGTTATTAATTAAGTTCCGATTTAGCTTTCGCACATATACAGTATGTGCATTTTTGAAGTAGATTATAAATTAGATACGTACGTAATATGTAAACTGTAATCTACAACAGTAAGATGAATTAATACGAAAAAAATAGGTGAGGCAACTCACCAGAAGAGTGAATATGGTTATTTGGTTAGTATTTTATGTACCCTCTTATAATTTTAGGCGAAACCTAAAGGTTTCGCCGAAAGAAAATTTAAAAAGGCAAAACGTGACTAAACTAGCAAAATAAGCGAAACATGATGAAACTAGCGAACCTAGAAGCTACAAAACTGACAAAACTCAATGTTGTGAAAACCAGTAAACGAATGCTAAAGATAAAACTTACTAAGCTAAAATAAAAATTTATTTAATTCATATATAAGGTGAGTGCAAAATCATTTATTAATCTATGCATTTAATAAGCTATTTATATTTATTATTTTATTTCATTTATTCGAGATTATGTATTCAAAAATATATTACTGTAAATACTGTAAATCCGCGAAATAACGATCATAAACATTATTTTTAAAATCATATCCTCTAAAAATAGTATACCTAGTTTAAAATAATGCCCATACGTATCCCGAAATAGAGCGCATCTTATATACATAGCACATAAGTAAGGATGTTGGACAATCTGGTCTAAACTACTGTTGTTAGGCAAAACTATTTTTAGCAAATTGCGAAAGACGAAACTAAACCTGGCGAAAGATAAGACTGGAGAAACTCAGGCAAAATAGTAAAACCCTGTGGTAAAGTTGAAACTCCTGAAAAAGTCAGATTAAATCCTCTAAGACTTTGAAAAGACTGAGCCTTGTTAGTGAATCAAAATATTTTATGCATGGCTACTAAGCACAGCATGTGACTTATATAAAAAATTATACAAAAACAATAAACAAAGTAAAAGCTTTTTGTTTGTATTCAAATAATATTAAAAGAAAATTATATTTCAGACTTTTGAACTTATAACTAAATCAACTCAGCCATGTAAAATAGACCTATCGAAATATTTAAATAAATTTTACTGTTAAATTATTAAGACTTTTGTAATATTACACTTTGACTAATTCCTTCAACATAGGATTCCTCCTGTTCATTATCGTTTCTGTTTTGTTTCATATTTGTATAAACTGAAATGTCTTAAAAGTTATTGAAAATTTTATTAAATATAGTTACGTTAAAATTACATACGTACTGTGCGTATTAATAATGCATCATTACAAATTTTATTATTATTTTAAACATCATAACACGTAATTATGCATTAATAATTAACTCACGAGTAACTCGTAAGTTAAATTTTCATGATTCAAAGAATGATAAATTAGAATTATTCGAGTCACGAGCTGACGAGTCCAGTCACTATCATGAAATTCAAGTTTGTTCTATTAAAGTTTTTATACCGTGAATTGTAATATAAAATTAAAAAACGTCTGTATGTTAAATTTAAAACCCGATAGCCTAGTAAAGATTCGAATTCTCAACATCGATAGGCTAATAATGGATAGGCAAGTATTAGTAAATAATGTTATACAGATTGCGACTCGTACCAGGTGCGATGCAAATTTGACTAATGATTTTTTCAGAACTCAACACAATTCCAATAGGCAAAACTTACTAATATGCCCTCTTCAAATAAAGTATCTAATCTAAAAGACAAGTAATAGTTGTCATTATAATAAAAAAGAATTGCGAAAGAGTCGATATAATAAATATCAATGTAAAATTGAATATAACTAAAATTGCTTCTTTTTTTAAAAAAAATAATTAATTATCGATCGGTAAAATTATACTGATTAAAATATGACGTACATTTTGAAGCTACATATGTAAATTTTTAATTGACGAAAATTTGAAAGTGATGTCTAACAGAACCCGTATACTTAATATGAAAGTACTTTTGGTTAAACCGACATCTGGATATTCTTTGTTTTTGGATAGTGTCAATATAACCAGAATAACGTGTATAAAAGTCTAATTTATATCCAGAGCCTTTTTTATATTTCTTGATGAGATTTATTGGTTGACACAAATAAATTTTTGTACAACTAAACATACCAAACACGTTAAACAAGCATTCAAACGAAAATTTAATAGTACTAGTTGTGATGACATTCTAACGAACTCTAAAATAAGTATTACATGTGATACAAAACAGCTTCTATGTACCGATCGTGCCGAAATTATAAATTTAATCGAATCTGCCGAAAAATCATTCGGCTAATTTTTATCAGGTGTTTTAGGAATTGTGAAACAACTGGGATTACCCGGTGTTTCTGCGTTTCAGGAAATTTTGCTGGGTCAAATATAATAGTATAGGCGATGTTACGACAAGGTAGAGACTTTACTATTACGCAGCCAATTTAACCCTGGTCGTAAGCATTAAAAATGAGAAACCAATGATTTATTATTACGCACAAGACACTGAAAGTACTAAAAAAGTAACCGATACAAGTAAGTATCTTCCTAAAAGTGTACCCGGTATACAAAGAATCCTCAATTTATATAAATTCTATTAGACTCAAATTGGCTATATACTAATATGGTAAATGTTGTTATAGCTTAATAATTGCATTAAAAATATCGTTACAATGTAAAAGTCCCAAAAACATTTATATATATTTGACCCGGTAAAATTTTCTGCAGAACCACCGGGTAATCTATACTATATTTAATCCAATTCCTGAGTATTATGCATGCATGTTATTTTAGAAGTTACTATTCTAGCGGCCAGAAATTAGTGATGGGCGAATTGCGGATCTCGCGTGGGATGCGTGATCATCGCGTGATTACCATGAGGTACGTAGCCAGGGCGGCCCCCCAAAAGTGCCGGTGACATAAGATCAATTAATGCAACTTGTTGGTTCTTTTCTAGCCGCATATTGTGGATCTTTTTTTTTTTTTTTTACTGTAAGATAGCAATTGTTCGTATATACAGTGGCTGTGCCATGATTACGTTACTGGCACTTTGGGGGGCCGCCCTGGCTGCCTCTGATTCACATGGTCATACAGGTTTTGCATATCAAGTACGCACGTACATACAGTACAGCAGTAGACACTCAATTCGTATATCTAGCTAGTCACACAAATTAATCTGATTAAATCATGATATATATCTTGTAATTAGAATTATGTAATTTTAATAATATTGAATTTGTCTCATCAGGACAAATCCAATAGTATTAAATTGCTTCTGATTACTAGATCTCAAGATAACAAGATTTATGATAATCAGTTCTTTTCGATTTAGTTAGATCACGATCTTCTTATATTCGTCGTATTTTGTGAAACCTATTTATCGATAAAAAGGAAGTATATTAGGAAAAAATGTGCTGCTAGTGTCCGAAGGCATAATACGTATTACTAGGTTAATGCGTAGCATTGTGTCCGGAGCACATGATAATCATCATATTGCACAAACGCGTGATATGCATGCTTTTGTTACACAAAAGTACAAATATAGACACGCGTGCGGACAGCTAATATATCTAATGAATTAATCAAGAACATAATTTATGATGCATCCAAAACGAAACTTTTGTATCACCATGGTCAAACATTAAATGAGTGTCGCTAAAAGAAAACCCGACACTTTAAATATGACTTATATTTAAATGTTCGGGTTTTCTTTTAGCGGCACTCAAATGTCATCCGCTACGCTCTGGACAATAATTTATCTTCCGCCTTGTCAGGCTAATCCGTGTCGATCTGTTTATATGTTGTAAATGCCGATTGGTCCAATATCACGTGAACGGAACCCAATACATTTTGTGTATTTACGTCTCCATTGTAAGTCTTCGGCAATGAATAATTAAAATGAAGAAGCTTGTATCTTTGGTCAAATTTGTAGATCGCGGCCCCCTATACAGTCACCTGGACAATTACCTGATTATCGTCCGATTGCGCGATTGTACAGTCAGACCTCTCTATAGTCACCTCCTCTATAGCCACATTTGCTTATAATCACATGAAATTTTAAAACAAACTTATATAGCACATAAAATTTAACCTCTATATAAGCACAAACTCTCTATAAGCACCAAATTATTAAAACCAAGGGTGTGATTATAGAGAGGTTTGACTGTACAATGATTTTTCAATGAGAACAGATATGGTCGACAAATATTATGAAAATAATATATTTATAGTAAATCTTGGCACTTTACAATCACGCAATCGAGCGACAATCAGGTGATTGTACAGGTGAGCCGCGATCTAGAATTTGATCAAAGATACATCAATTTGCGAACCGCGATAATTGGTTACATGTATGAATTTGACTTCTGTACGAATTTGGTATGCAAAACCTGTAAGCCTACCGAAATATTTCAGGACACCTGGCAGTATAAAAATTATATATTTCGTATCCCACGCGGATCACGCGCGTGCCAATCACTACTAGAAATGAACGGAGCTTAAGAAATACAAACAGGAAATACGAAATAGAAAAAAACAAATCATGATATGATTATGGCAAACCCAGATGGTCGGAAGCCTATGTGACTGTGCCCTCAATTGGATTTTTGATCTGCAAAAATAATGAGTGTCGCCCGAAATTCTAAAAAAATAGATTATTATGAATTTTATCTTGATCTATCTTCAAATTTTGTTCTCATTTGGCAACACTCATATTTTTACTGAACAAATTTGGGTCGGTTGTCTAAAGCGGAAAGAAAACAAGCGAGGGTGGGGCGCACAGGTGCCTCCATTGCATTACTTAGTCAAATTCCTTAATATACGTCAAATGATATCAATTAGATCAATTAGATCATGTATAACAATTTAGATTGTGTATGCATCTAAAAAACTCGAATATATGATGATTACGTTAATAGCTAAAAGTATTGCGCGTATGCTTATATCGAAGTAATCCGGTTGACATTGAGTTGAATTTTATTTGATGAATGCAGTTTACATTAATTGATATATTATTGTTAAAACTGAAACGGGATATGCAATTAATATTGCGCCGGGGATCACCATAAACCGTTCGCTTATACAATAAAATCGCGGAATACAGTCAAACCTCTCTATAATCATACCCTTGGTTTTAATAATTTGGTGCTTATAGAGAGTTTGTGCTTATATAGAGGCTAAATTTTATGTGCTATATAAGTTGGTTTTGAATTTTCATTTGATTATAAGCAAATGTGACTATAGAGGAGGTGGCTATAGAGAGGTCTGACTGTAATTTTTTCCCGGATTTATAATTTATAATTATTAAAACGGATATATGCATGACGATTTCATCTTCCGTTATGCAACCAAAATTACCAGTACTGTAGTTAGCTTTATATGTAGATTGCAGATTTTTACGTATACTTAAAAAACGATGACATCATAAGTAAAATTACGATTTTTCACACGACTATCACAAATTATTATGTATGCTATAAAACACCAAATTACGCAGATCAGAATCCATACTTAGGGTTGTAATTTTGCGTATTTTGTGTAAATTTCGGTAAAATAGTTTTGTAAGAAATGTGATCATACTATCATATGATTTCATATGATTGGTTGGATCATATGTCATCGATTTTTGATAAGTAAACTTTATGCAAAGTCTATTGTAGTTCGATAATGCTAGCTATATTTTCCATAATGTTGGTATTTTATATCACGTGTGAAATTTAAAATTGTGAAATGTAATTTTCAACACTAACATATTGATTCGGTATTATATATTATGGTTTTAAACCTCGGCTTGTACCATACTAATCTGCTATAATCTCTTATAAAACAGATAATATACGAAAATTACACGATATCACAAATTATTAGATCCGGTCAATTAGATCTCAAAGAATACATTAGCACGAACGGGCGTTATTTTCTGTCGGGGATGATGCTGAAACATTGACCTATTTTAATATAAAATTTTAAAATTTTGGGGATATTTTTTTAGTTTTTTTTTTTTTTTTTTTGGTAGTTAAGTTAGGGCTTAGGGCTAGTATTTATAATAAAAAGGTATAGGTGTATTTTAGTAGGGTTTATATTTCTAAATTGAGACCCCCACGTTTCAGCATCATCTTGTTTCAGTATCATCCCCGACATTTTCTAATAGGATTTAATAATCCGGGATCAGTCAAACGAAAACCGCGAAAAATAGAAAAATGGCAGTCTAAGCCCGCCTTGGTGCATTAATAAAAATATGGAAGAAACAATTTTACTTATATAAATACCCTAACCCTAAAACTAATCAAGCAAATTATAAGAAATATAAGTTGTCCCACTTTAAACGTCTCCAAATCTGGTAATACCCGAAACCTCATTATTATTACTGTTTTCAAAATGATTGCCATTAAAAAAACTATTTAATATTTTTGTATACTCTGTATACTGGCTTAAAATCATTAGTAACAAAAAAATTTTTTCGAATACTTTAATACATTAAAGTATTCAAAAAAATTTTTTTACTACTCAAAAATTATCTAATTCTTGTTAACAATTCCGACGAACCTAAGTTTGTTCTTTTTTCGTAAAACTTTCAGTTTATCGTCTATATTGTAAGAGGAAATATGTGTACAAACCTTACAGATACCACTGTAGATACCTCTGTTCCAGTTGTTGATGAATGGGTTACATCCTCAGATGATGTTGAAATATATACTAGAACTTGGAAGGTATTATTAAGATAGACAGATAGCTTTTTAACTTTTTCATTCCACCAATATTTAATCTTTTTTTTTTAAAATAAATGGACAATATTTTCATGTCAATTTCAGGCAGTATCAGATAAACCTATCGCTACAGTAGTATTCATTCATGGTTTTGGAGAACATGTTAAACGTTACAACCATGTATTTGATAAATTCGGAAGAGAAAATATTGAAGTTTATGCTTATGATCAACGTAGTTTCGGCGAAACAGTAAAAAGAAATAAAAACCCAACAAGACTGGTTGCTCCAACTGATATCACTGAGGCTTTAATATCTCGACGAAGAGAGGGAATTCCTCAATTTTTGATGGGCCATAGCATGGTAATTTTTATCTGAAGTTCAAGCCTCACGTGCATTTTAAGTTTTTACTTAAAAACTAATTCATTTTGTTAATATCATAATGAATCATTTATCATATCCTTATTTTGACTAATAGGGAGGTTGTCTTGTACTAAACTATGTTATTGATGGGCCTGAAAAACACAATATAGCGGGTCTTCTCTGTACATCTCCTTTGATTAAACTTACACCTAAAGCTAATCCGCCTATTTCACTTTACGTTCTTCATGTCGCTAGTAAGTTATTGCCGAATGTAAAATGGAATCCTATAAATGCAAATTACCTTTCCCGTGATCCAATCGAAGTTAAAA